AAATCGGCATGATATTCTTGATGCTTTGCCATGTCCCTCATAACATAATCTATTCTGGCATAGCAGATTTCCTTCTTACGGTTAAAAAGAGATACAAGGACAAGTTGATTCAACCCAAATTGTCGAGAGACAAAGTTTGGTTGATAGGCTAACATGAATACGTAGTTCTTAACAGGCAGAATCTTGGAAATGAGGAGTCTGGGTAGGAGAAATGCACACCAGACATCTTCAACTTCAGTATTGGCATCCTTTATGGCTTCCTCAATCGAAACAGTAAGCCAGGAGGGGCCATGAGTTCGTTTGGCGAAGGGAGCCATGGCAGGAGTAAAGGCATGACATTTCGAGAACATCAGAATATACTTGGTGAGGCTGGATTGAAGATTCATGTCTTCACTGGGAGTCAGTAGCAGAAGCCTAGTTCCTTCAATACTTCTTGCTGCTATCATGGGGTCTTCTTAACTCACATTTCCAGAAGTTTGAAGGGATGGTTCGAAGGTGGCATTCAGCCATAGTTGAAGAAGCCAGTAAGGTCCAAATAAAAGGAGGTTACTGCCAACTTCATGTTCTTTAAGCTTGGTTACAGCAGAGCCTAGACGTTCGTACAAACTTACTAGTAATAATTCACTAAGGCAAACCTTTCGACTAGAATGGAATTGGTTAGCCAAAGTTAAAAATCTTCTAGCTACTTGCAGGGATTTGCAACAGAAAACAAATTTGGACAACCATAAGGCTAAGAAAGCTATATGTTCAATGTCAGAAACATCTTTGCCGTCCGTGTGATAAAAATTCATATAGGCATTGAAAGAAGCAGTTTTTGTGTTGAAATCTATTATGTTGTCGGAGTTGAGAAAAGGGTCAAATGTTTCTCCAATAGGAGAAAGTCCTGTGATGGCTGCTACGTCGAACAACGTAGGGGTTATCATCCCACAAGGAAGATGGAAGGTGTTATAAGTGGTATCCCAAAAGTAGTGAGACGCAAGAAGTAAAGGTTGGCAATAACTAAAACCTAATTTTGACATCTGGATCAGGTCGAAAATACCAAAATCTTTCCAAAATTGGCTTTTCTTTTTTTTCTACTTTACCTAGCCAATTCAAATAAGAATTTTCCAAAGGGGGACAAGATCGAAAAGGTCTGAAATTCTCAGTAATATAATTCATTTGGAAAGGTTCCTTATTCGTTACTCCAGGACTCTCTGTAGATGTATTTTTGGGGGATTTGGAAGAATCATCAGAAATATTTCCCTTATTAGCTATGGGTCTAACAACATGATAAGTTGGGAAAAAGTTTTTACATTCTTCTAAATGTTCAGTAGAAACTAAAGGACCTAGGAATCTTAGGGTTTTACCAGATAATGAAGAGGAGATTAATACCCGGGAAGCGTAAATGGCTTTTTGTTCTTTGGACAGCTTCAGAGGTGTAATAAATTCCTTGTTCTCATGTGTGATTATTTTGCTAGTTGGGATGGATTGAGAAGTTGAACCTGTAGAAGCTCCAGGGTTTTTGATTTTGATTTTCATCTGCTGTTTATCAGAGGCCATTGTTGAGATTCTTCTAGGTTTTTTCTGGAGATTTTTTAGTTTTTCTGGAAAGGAAAGGGTTTTACGGAAACTGAAAGGGTTTTTGCTAAGAGAAATTTGTAAAAGTAAGAGAGAGGAAGGAGAAAAACCCTTTTTATAGTGAAGAGTGATTGTCCATCAAAGGATACGTGTTCGCATCCTGAAGGAGAAGGTGAGAAGTTTATCAAGTCACCTGACATTGGGAATGGTTATTCATCATTGTAACTGTTGCACGCATGTCTTGAAGAGACGTTTTTGGGAAGAGATGTCATGATGATCTCATTAAAATACGAAAAGGTTCTCTTTGCTAGTCGAAATAACGTAAATCACAAGAAATGCCTATTTCTGCACATATTCAAAATAGATATTTATTGGGGGCAATTTGTTAGCTGGGAATTTCGACCAGGTTAATAAAGGAATCATTCCTTTAAAATTTCCACAAGATGGCTTGAAAAAGCTATAGTCGAAATATATTATTACTAGATCTGAGTCAAAGACAGTTTGAAAAGACAAGTATTTTTGTTTTGTCAAAGACGCGCGTTTCGACGGCCAGGTAAGAAAGTCATTGCTGAAGGCTTGAGCGGGAATGTTTGAAATTCGAAAATAGTTTCTTTGGATAAGAAGGACGCGTGGAAACCTTAGAGTGTCGAAAGACATGCAAGAAGCGACGTGGCTTTTCCTTAGAATAGTACCGTTATGGTTAGAACATTATAAATAGCTCCTTAGTGTTAGGGAAAAGGAGGGTCATAATTCGTACAAAGTTACTCACAAAATACTCAAGTACCAAGTTACAGAGAAAGAGTTCGTTGAGAATGTACGTATGACCTCACAATTTTATCTTTGAAATGCACTTATCAATATAATTTTCTTTTGAACCATTCTTTTACATTTGTTCTTAATTTCTTTATGTTCTGTCGAATTGTTTCATTTTCCTGCAAAGCTTTATAAATCAAATTTCTTTTAAAAGGATTTTTCCTTTACAATCAAGTCATTTAATTCCATTCTTAAGTCTTTTCATTGTCAAGTATTTACATTCAAACCTTTTTTTTATTATTAAGACGCTTCGTCTAAACCTTTACATTTGAATTTAATTTCAAAAGTCTTTTGTATTTCAAGCCTTTACACAAACACATGCACAAGTATTACGTCGTGCTTAACATAAACCGTCAAGTAAGTGTTACAATTAATGTTAAGACAATGTCCTAGGATCAATCTAGTCGATCCTGCGAGTAACCATACATATCAAATGTGTTTGGAAGATTAGCGGTTGTTTCGCCAGAAATCACAGCGAACACTAGGATAACCCTCCTTTCCTTCACCAACAGATGCCATAACAAACCCTTAACCATATACCTCTATTACCACCCTTTCGGACCCCAAAACTAGAACTAGCATTTTTTGATGGTTCAAACCCTTTAGAATGGCTTTTTCAGGCATAACAGTTTTTTTGGTTTTTACAACTTACCCCCATAAAATCGTTTATCGTTGATTTCCTTTTATATGAAGGGGGACGCTTTATGCTGGTTTAAATGGATGTCACAAAACCAGTTTTTGACAGATTGGTTTACATTCACAAAAGCCTTAGAACTACGTTTCAGACCATCTACATTTGAAAACCACCAAGCTGAACTTTTTAAGCTTAAACAGACCGGATCAGTGGTAGACTATCAAACTAGATTTGAACATTTAGGAAACATGGTTATTGGATTACCATAAGAAGCAATTTTAAATTGTTTTATTTCTAGCCTCCAATAAGAAATTCAAAGTGAAATTTCTATCCACCGCCCTACCTCTATTTCCCAGGCCATAGGCCTTGCCAAACTAATCGAGTCCAAGATTAAGGACTCAAAGTCCAAATCATCCAAAAAGTTTCCCTCACTATACCATAAACCTTCTAACTCACTTTCCCTTACCAACACCTCCAAAACAAACCCTCCATTTCCCCAACCCACAACCCCACATATTACGGCCACCACGACCTCTAAATTTCCCATTCACCGTCTCACACAATCACAATTGCAAGAAAGAAGAGCTCAAGGCTTATGTTTTATATATGACGAAAAGTTCGTCATTGGTCACAAATGCACTTTTAGCAGATTTCTCATTTTATTGGCGGATGATAATTTAGTAGAAGATCCGCTCGAGACACAAAGTGCTATTGATAATCCTAGTGATCCAGACATTGCTGACACATATTTCCCACTCTCCCCTCAAGATTTAACGGGTCAATTTTCACCTCAAACCCTAAAATTTAAAGGGTCCATTGGAGGTCTAACAGTTATGGTTCTAGTGGTCACGGGCAATACTCACAATATCATGCAGCCGCGAATTGCTCAACATCTCCATCTCGCGACTACTCCAATTAGTCAATTCTCTGTAATGGTTGGAAATGGTTCTCATTTACATTGTGAAGCTGTTTGTAATAATGTTCAAATACTACTATAGAATAAGCCGTTTACCCTACCATTCTACTCACTCCCAATTGAAGGCGCAGACATCGTTCTAGGAATGGCTTGGTTAAGAATGTTGGGCCCCATTCAAGCTAATTTTTCCATTCCTTCCCTTACTTTCCAACATCAAAACAAACCCATAACTTTGAAAGGTGACCCTAAATCGCAGTTTGTTTATTCCACTTTTCATCAAGTGTGTCACCTTATTCATATTGACGTTGTGGCTTCTTTCCATCTTCTGATCATGGAACCTTTACATGTTTCCACCATAATCACTAACTTACCAACAACCCCTATAGAATCCCCCCTTCCACCTCAGCTTTCTCATCTATTAACACAGTACCAATCCATATTTCAAACTCCCCATGGCCTTCCCCATCATAGACTTCATAATCACCACATTCGACTTTTACCTAACACACCACCCATTAATGTAAAACCTTATAGATACCCCCATTCAAAAAAAGAGGCTATGACAACACTGATTCAGAAGATGCTGAAGGAGGGCACTATTACCCCCAGTCATAGCCTATTTTCTGAAGATGTGAAAAACACAAGAACGGGGGTTGAATTGTAAAATTTAAAATCAAATTTAGACAACACTGTATTTTTATCCTGGTTCGTTTGATCTCAAACTACTCCAGTCCACCCGTCAAGGTGATTTCGCCTCTCTCCAGCGAGGTATTAATCCACTATATTCAACTGAATACACAACTGCTTTAACAACTGTTAAAGCCTTCTTGAGTCTAACCACAGACCGATTTATCTCAAGGAAATTCTCTTACAGATAATTGAACAAAAGTGTGTTTGATGTTTTCTAACAAAACTATATATCACAACTGTGATAATACATAATATGAAGCTTAGAATGAACTAGACTGCTAATGCTATTGAGTAGGCGTGGTTGAAAGCTTTAGAAATTTGAGTGAGAGAGTTTTCGTATGCGTGCGTGCGTAAAGAGTATTAGCCTTTTCTTTTCTCACACAGTCTTGTTTAAATAGCCACGAAAGAGATACGTTGGTTGTCCATAAATCCATTTCCAATGATAATAACGTTCTTTCCTTTTTGAGAAGATCTTTGTCTTGGAACAAAGCCGTTGGTAATAAATCTGTCTTGAATGCTTAGTAACGTTGATACTTCAGAGTCTTCTCTGCTTATTGTAATCAGAATGTTCTTTCCTTTATGCTGACGCTTCTGAGTGCTGATGACTTGGTTAGGATCTTGATCAGAGTCAGAGTATTTTATGCGCAGATTCTGTTCATCAGGCTTCAGCGTATAGCACATGTTATTTCATCTTCTGATGCTGACATATCTTCTGATGCTGATGTTGATACTGATATTCTGATGCTGATTCCTTCAGAGTTTCTGTAAATACACAACATAATTTTAAGTAGCATATATGTCTTATATAAATCTTACAATTTATTTAATCTTGTATTTTGTTATCATCAAAACTCTAACTGAGGGTTGTAGAATCAAACTATGTTCTAACAATCTCCCCCTTTTTGATGATGACAAAAACCAGATTTTTTTTCAATTAAAATTAAAGAATAAAAGGTATCAGAGATAAACAATTAACGAATAAAAGTTATCAGAGATAAGAAGACAAGGAATAAAAGGTATCAGAGATAAGAAGATAAGGAATAAAAGGTATCAGAGCAACGAAGGGAAAAACTCCCTCTGAGTTGGTTACTTCCCTTTAATTCCATAAGACCTTGAGCATCAGAACTTTACTTTATCAGAGTTCATCAGATTCATCAGATTCTTGTACCTGTAAGCTTTTCAGAAAAAATTCAAATAGATCAGAATGTTAGAATGTTTGAGACTTATGTCTCAGTAATCCGTTATTGAAAAATATCATTCTTTCTCCCCCTTTTTCTCAGTTATCAAAAAGCACAAATAATCAGATTTAAAATGATCAGAGCTAAAAAAGCGTTTATATTAAAAACAAAAGCAATGAAAAGTTCAGAACACGTAAAATATTACAGACAAACATGTAAAGAAAACACAGAAAAATTCTAAGAGGAAGGTGGAAGACGTGTGAACAGATCTTCCAACATGCTCTTGATTTGATTGCTGGTTTCCTGTTGCTGAGATACCATGTTTGCTATAGCATCAATTTTGATGTCCTGCTTATCCATTCTTTCATTCATCAGCATATCAGATCTTTGCAAGTCCTCCAGAGCCTGCCTGTCAAGAGAGGAAGCTTGAGGATCTTCAGAAACAGGGTGCTTCTCAGAGCTTTCTGTAGTATCTTCTTCTTGACCCAAGTCTTCAGTCGGAATCATCTGTTCTTCTGCAGGTTGAGCTCTGGATGCTGGACGCTGTTCAGACCAAGGAGCAATGTCCAGATGGAGAACTTCTTCCTTAAGCAACTTGCTCAGAACTGGACCTTCCATTTCTTTCAGCAGATTGCTGAAGTTCTGTTGAGCATGTCCATAGCTCTGGTCTTGCAACTTAAAGGTTTCAGCGCATACCCATCTTCTGAATTTTGTCCAGAGGAGGTCCAATACAGCAGGATCAACCAGTTCCAGACTTGCTTGTTTCAAAGAAGTGATCCACTTCTGTATATCTGTTTCAAAGTTCAATATGTTGGAACCAACATATGGATGTTTTGGTTTAGGGATAGCAGTTTTGCTGTTTATTGCAGCAAGGCGTTCAAAGACTGTTAGATCAATGACAGTCTTGCTGTGGTCATCTGAATTTTTCTTAGGTGAGGGAGTGGGAGAGTCAGGAATTACGATTGGACTAGATGGGGAATTTGGTGGATTTATTTCTGGTGAGGAGGGAAGTTGAGGAATATTCACAGTGGTGCCACAGGGTAATTGAATGGCCAAAGGTTGTGGTTCAGGGGATTCAGAGGGTTGATCCTCAGAGGTTTGAGTCTCAGGTTGTGGAGATTGTTCATGTTGAGGAGAGGGTGGATTAATATCTGGTTGATGGATTTCTGGTATTGAAGAGAGTGGAGTTTTTGGTATTGGTGAGAGGGGAATTTCTGTGTTTGGATTTGGATTTTCTGGTTCGGGAACGGAAGTGTGTTGGTCTATATCAGAAAGAACTTTTTCAAGTTCTTGTTCTGGTATGGCTTCAGTATTTGGATTTTGTGGTTGGGAGCGAGATCTTCTGAGGGTTAATGATTCAGAAGGGTCAAAGTCTAAGTCAAAATCATCGAAAGTTTGAGGTGTTGGGTTTTCAGATAGAGTTGGAATAGGGATAGATGTTGAAACAACAGTTGAATCTAAAATAGTAACAGAAGTAGGATTACCTCTCTTCTTTGGAGTCTGTTGAGATGATCCTTCTGTAGCAGCTTTTCTTTTCTTCGTCTTCTTTAGAACAACCTCTGGAGCCTTCTGCTGAAGATCTTGAATATTCAGATTTGGTGTTGTACCATCAGCTTTGCACGCATCCAGATATCTCAGAATGATTTCTGGCTTGGAGTCAATCTCTGAGAACAGAGGGAAGTCGTCCATAGGGACTCTTCTGCTGGAGATTTCAGCAAAAAGAGTGACGCTGGGCTCCTTCTTAATGTTCTCTATCAACTTCATTTTCTTCTGATTTTTGGCATTCAGCTGCTTGCCAACAGAAGGTTCCAGAGTGCTGATTTCTTGTGCCTCTTGCAGATGATTAATCAGCCTATTCTCTATAAGAATATCTGATATCAGTCTTCCCAAGGGTATCCAATCCCTCTTTGTACGTTCCTCTTCCCTTGTTTCCTTGACACTTGTTCTGAGATGGTTGAACAGAAGATGAGCTAGATTTATCTTGACCTTCTGAGAGATGAAATAGAGCAGAAACTGCTGATCAATGTTTATGTAATCAGGAGAGCTGGTAGGCTTCCTATGGTTGAAACAGCCCAGAATGATCTTGGCCCAAATTTTGTGCTTGTCCTTCAAATCCCTTATCTTGCTAGAGGGAAGTCCCAGCGTGAAAATTTCCCTTGCAATTAGGGTAACATCTGCACACCTTTCTGCCATATCAATGCAACGAATACCACCACCATTGTACCCTATGAGTCTTGCAATCAGGTCTTCAGTGATAACAATCTTCTTCCCCATGATATAGATGTAACTTGATGATTTGAAGAAGAAGCGTGAATCCAAAATTCCTTTACCAGAATAGGAAATGTTGGACCCACCAGCCTGTCAAAATACCTTTCCCAACCTTGAGCTTTAACCTCTTCAGATAAATCAAAACCATTTTCCTTGAGACTGTTGAAATCCACTATTAATTCTGACAGAACTTCAAGATTCTTGACTGGTGTTAGAAGCGTTTTGAATGGTACTTCGTATTGTTCAGATGAAGCATTTTTCTGGGAACCTGAAGAAGGAATGCTGGAAGAAGCCATGTTCACACGAGGTTTTTTTTGTGAAAAAGATTGAAAGGTTTTCTTGAGAAAGAAGAACACTGAAAACAGAAATATTGAGAGAAAACGAAAGTGACGGTAAAAGTGTGTGAATGGTGTGAAGTGTTTAAATAGATTTCTAAAAAGTTTTTGAAAACATAAACGTTCAAGAGAGAGAAATTAATAATGATTATTAGCAATTAATGATAGCTGATTTTAGGGGATAGATTCTGATACAATCTGCACTTCTAAAGTTCTGAAGGAAGATTGATCAGTAGTTCACAGAAAATAAACAAAATTCTGAAGGTTAATATATAAAATTAAAACAATTTTATTCTGGGCAGAGCTTCATGCTGAGATGTTTCAGAATGAAGTTGAACCTATCTTCAGAAAGTGGTTTTGTAAAAATATCAGCTCATTGATGGTCTGTGTTAATAAATTTAAAATTTAAAATCCCTTTCTGAATATAGTCCCTAATAAAATGATGTTTTATTTCTATATGCTTAGCCCTAGAATGCAAAATTGGATTTTTACTTAAGCAAATAGAAGAAGTATTGTCACAGAAGATAGGAATGTTACTCTCAAACATCTGGAAGTCCTCAAGTTGACTTTTCATCCAGAGCATTTGTGTGCTGCATCCAGCTGCTGCTATGTATTCAACTTCTGCTGTTGATAGAGCAATTGTGGATTGTCTTTTGCTGGACCATGAGATCAGATTTTCTCCCAGAAACTGGCAGCTTCCAGAAGTGCTTTTACGTTCTACTCTGTCTCCAGCAAAATCAGCATCACAGTATCCTACTAAGCTGTAATCACTTGATTTTCTATAAAACAAACCCAGATTAGTAGTACCTTTCAGATACTTGAAAATTCGCTTAACTGCTGTTAAGTGAGATTCTCTAGGATCTGATTGGAATCTAGCACAAATTCATACACTGAATAAAATATCAGGCCTTGAGGCTGTCAGATAAAGAAGAGAACCAATCATACCTCTGTAGACCTTCTGTTCTACCTTTTTGCTTACCTCTTCTCTTTCCAGAATGCACGTGGGATGCATTGGAATCTTTGATGGCTTACATTCTGAGAGATCAAATTTCTTCAGAAGTTCTCTGACATATTTGCTCTGATGAATGTAAGTTCCTTCTGGGGTTTGATTGATCTGAATGCCCAGAAAGAATTTCAGTTCCCCCATTAGGCTCATCTCAAATTCTGCCTGCATACACTTAGCAAACTTTCTTCCCAGAGAAGGTTTAGTAGATCCAAAAATGATATCATCAACATAAATCTGACATACTAAAATGTCATTCTTAATTGTCTTACAGAATAAGGTTGTGTCCACTTTCCCTCTGGTGAATTCCTTTTCTAACAGGAAGTTACTCAGTCTTTCATACCAAGCTCCAGGAGCTTGTTTCAGACCATACAGTGACTTCTTTAGTTTGAAAACATATTCTGTATTTTTTGAACTTTCAAAACCAGGGTTTTGGTGCACATATACCTCTTCTTCTATATAGCCATTTAAGAATGCACTCTTAACATCCATCTGATACAGAGTGATGCCTTTATTAACAACAAAAGAAATTAAGAGTCTGATAGATTCTAACCTGGCGACTGGAGCAAAGGTTTATGTATAGTCTATCCCCTCTTGCTGACTATAACCTTGTGCTACCAATCGTGCTTTGTTTCTGATGACTTCACCTTGTTCATTCAGTTTGTTTCTGAACACCCATTTTGTTCCAATGACGTTGAATCCTTTTGGTTTGGGAACTAGATCCCATACGTCATTTCTTGTGAATTGATTCAGCTCCTCTTGCATTGCTAGAATCCAGTCATTATCCAGAAGTGCTTCATCAATTGTTGATGGTTCAATTAGAGAAACAAGTCCCATGAGGGATTCTTCAGAGTTTCTGAAGCTAGATCTTGTTCTGATTGGATTTTCCTTTCTTCC